ATGGATGGTCCTTGGAATAGTCCTTAGATTTATTATACGTTCGTACAAACTACGGGGGAATCCTCCTATTTTCATTTATTAACGTAGACTACAACCAATTCGCATTGCGGATCGTTACCCTCACTTTTCCTAACGAAAAGTACGAACAATGAATCCACGTTGTTAGTTCAAAGGGCACATCCACACCGGGCTTTCCTCCGTAATAATACGAGAACACCTCGGGACTGAAATTACAAACTCTCGTCAGTCAACATCTCTCAGATCAGTCGCGTAAACTGTGCTTATAAAATTGTGTTATTTAATAAAGTTCGATAGAAAAGAAATATAAAGTTGTGCTGCGGCTCAACCTTCTTGTCTTTAAAACCTAAGCCTTAATTTTACGTGACATTAACCCCGTTACCGGCCAGGAAAAATGGGAATAACCGTGGGGCTGGTGCAGAACGTCTCTCCGGATCAGAGACTTGGAAACTCAATAACGCAGGAAAACGCATCGAGAAATCTGTCGAAATAAGCGAAACACGATGTCGCCAGGTTTTTCGAGATATTTCCGTATCTTCGATCGGTGAACAGTTCGGATTGTGGATTATGGAGTAGTTCTTAATTTACTTTACCCTTACTTTATAATATTGAATCGTGTATGAAGATATTTTTACAAATTCCATACAGCTTAATAATATGAATAATATAAATCTTGTATCAGACATTATTTTTTATCCCCGCGTTTGATGTCGATTCGTTCGATGTCAAACGAGAGTTAAGAAAACTCAATTTTCTATCTTTCGAAAAGAGAACTTTTTTAATTAACCTGACGTGATTCTGAAAATAATTTATTTAACATAGGCGAGAAATTAAAAAATCAATTGATCGTTTTATACGACATAAAATTATTAAATTATTAAAATTATACGTAGTTTTATTATAAACACCTTAAACTTATTGAAACTAAATGATGTCTTAGATGATAATCTTAGTCCTTGGGTCCTTAAGACTATTGAGTGTACGTAGTAAGGATGAGCGGACCTGTGGCCTGGTCTAGGTAGAGTGTCGTCCGACGTAATAAAAGACAAAAAATAAATTTTTGTTTATTCCATGTTTGAGTATAATTGGAAATTTATAGGAGTTTTTGAAATAGAAGATTATAGTCTAAAATGTGTTATTTATTGATAATTCGCTAATATTAGTAATTAATAAATGATTATCCAAAAGATCCCAGAGTAGAGAATGTATTTTTTTAAAAGACAAAGCACGTTATTTTCGACTGTGAGACGAACATTCGACATCACTATTTCACTATTACGGTTCTTTCAACTTAACCACTTAATATTTCAGAAATCGTTCGAACCAGCTACTAAAACTAAAACTAAAGAGAACTAAAAGTTTTTCTCTGAAGATTAATGATACTCTCATTTTTCGATGGATCTAAAATACAATATGAAAGCACTTAACCTTCCTGACACTTCGATCCTACGATATATCCACAGCCCAAGCACAGTACAATCGCTAAAACGAAGTTTGGGGGTGATGTGGCCCTGCCAGGTGAAAAGAGAATTCACGTTTTGTCCCGGGACTACCGGTGGACTCGTCAGTAAGGCTATGCCCGGTAGTCCCTGCCTTAGATGTAGAAGAAGTCTCGCTAGGTGCGGTATTTGTATCGTGACACCGTATATTCGACCGCTAGCGAGACAGACAGACTCACTGTCGTTGTAGTAGCCCTCTGGTGTTGGCGGTTGGTACCCGCGGATCGCCCGGGAGGTGTTACGACCGCGTTGATACCTCGACCTATCGGCGTCCTGTTGGTACCGATCCGCCACAGAAGAATTAACCATATCCGTCAGTCAATCTTCTTTCTCTCTGACAAACGAAGACATATGGTCATGTAAACATTCGTAAATTTATGCAAATTGTCGAAAACGGAAAACTCCGTAAAGGTTTTGCCAATTAATTTTTATCGGACTATCTCATCAAGTAACAGACAGCTACTGAATTTATCGCTCTCATAATACGTTAATTATATAATACGTGACACGATATTTCATTCCAGTAAATGTTAATCTCCTTTCTTCCTATTATCAATCACAATTATCACGGAAATTATATCCAGATGTGACAAACGCGAATAACATTTAAATTATCGATTCATCGATAATTACGTATCGCTCTACTGTCAGAAGATTCTGAATTTTTGTTTTACTACTATGATAAATTATACTATAGCAAGTTTCGTCCAGACTCAAAAAAATGTATTTGAATAACAGATACATCGCGAAAGCCTACTATAAATCAGAGACACAGAAAGGAGTTTTATAATTTGAAAAAACAAGAAAGGTCGTTTATTGTAGCGCTATAATATATTTCAACTTTTTCAGACTTCTTAAAACTATAGAATCCAAATGGGAGAAGAAATAGCGAGGAAAAATAATATCGGTCAAATATTCTTGAAATTCCTCTTAATAATCTCAATATGAATTTGATGAAATTCAATAATGCGAATTGATTAGAAAAAAACATTAGAAACAAAATGTTGACGGACGTTGATCCTTAATAGGTTAAAGAATCGGCGAAAATTATTATTTTCACTCGCGAATATAATTATCCATAAACTTTTCGCTTCAAACAAAGACAAGTATTTATACCGTATTTTATGTAGAGCAATAGCAGATTGTATTTCAATAATTCTCTCTATAGTATAAATGGAATATACTTGTATAGAGGAAATACTGATAAAATAATAACTGTGATGTTCCTGGTATTAAAGGACACAAATAAGTCCTCAAATTATCGAGTAAATAATTCACGAAGAGAAAGATAACTAAAGACAATTGTCTGTCGGATTATCCTTTATTCGAGACGATCCTCGAAGAAGTCGGAGGTCGATCGTTATTTCCAACAGCTTCCGCAATTGACATTCAGCTACAACGATACCTAGAGAGAGGTAAAGGTGTTGTAACCTGACAGAAGATCCCATGCGACCTCGACTCTGGGACGGAAGTCTCGTTCACTTCGCCTAGAAATTCAATAATACTTTGTATGTGGAAGCGGAAAGTAAAAGAATGTATAGGTACATACAGATGGTACACTGACAACAGCAGAAGGAGGACGAACAAAGGACTGTGAGTAGAAAAGGGGTTGACCTTTCATTGATTAGATCACTCAGAAAATTCTACGCGATATCCGGCACCCGCCTACCGTAACCTCCGCACTTTTTCCATTCCCCTACACCTGAAGAACTTTCGTCGCTCATTCCTCCCTCTGACTTCCGTTTTCGAACGGCGATCGCCAAGTTAGGACTTTTTGATGTTAAGTTTCTATTCTCGTCATTTTTGTTGATCAGTTAGCAGATTGAAAATAGTAAGATCTTAATGTAAGTACGTCCGGGCGGGGGAGGGAGGTAATTTTGAGAAGTAGATGAAATTTCTGCCTTGAGAGCAGCGAATTTTTAATCGCTAATTTTGTTTTGTAACTTGAAAATAATCAACTTTTGATGGTGGTATTTTTTGAGGAATTAAATTTTCAATAGCCAATTTTGTCTAGGTATTGAAAATAAGAAACTTCCAAGAGTGATATTTTTTAAAGGAATAATCTCGGGAGATAGAAGAGCTTTTTGCTTCGAGAACAACGAATCTTCAATTACTATTTGTGTCTGTAAATTGAGAATAATGAACATTGTATCGTGCCGTGCGGTGGGGGAGGGGTTGATTATAAGAAGCAGAAGGAATCTGTGCGTTGCGAAAGGTGAATTTTGAGTAATTACATTTCTCCGTAAATTGAAACTAATGAACTTTAGATGATGGCATTTTTCAGAAGATTGATTTCGAGAAGTAGAAGAGATTTATATGTTACAAATAGTAAGGTAAAAATATAATTATTTTCATTTTAATGGGAAAATACGTGAGCTAATTTTTTCAATTATAGTAAACTTATTGGTAATGGTAAAAGGATTAACTTCTTAGACATAGTCTGTTTTATGAGCATTATGAATTCATATCAGTGGTAAAGGGGTGCACCTTAATGATGTTAGTATCCTTCGACAGCAGATAGCTTCCTATCCATATACCATATATACTTTCTATATACATATACACGCATATGTATATGTATATATTATGTATTATATATTACCACGAAATCTGATGCTGTTCCTGGCTTGCGGTTGACAAGGACTTGGAAATGACGTAGGGACATCGATGATATCATTAATGCTTAATCATGGATAGTGCTCCATAATCGTGTTACCTTTGTCCTGTACGAATATTAGATAGCAGTCGATCACTCATCTACAAAGTCGCGGATCAAAAGGCTCAACTTACGTTCCACCGTTCAAAGCCTAGTGCTACTATCAAGAGACTTTTGACGTAGGAAAATCATCGATATGGATCGTTGATTTCCTTAGAAACACGCATACTACTATTTTTATCTATAATTCCAAATAATCCATTTCCTTTAAAATATTTTACATTCCAGATATCCCGATGACAGTAAATGCAGTATTTTTGTAATAACGATTTTTCGAAAATGAAGGGACATTTAGATGTTTCGCCGTTTATTAAAATATTTATTAGGAAAAATTTTCTACTTTCAGAACAAAAAATTCATTAATAATCGTAAAAACGTAAATAAAAATCGCAATTAAAAGTTATCGCAAATTTGGTATAGTGTATTTATCTTTTAATAATGATTTTGATAAGAATGAAGAAATAGAATGTTTAGAAAAAGTAACCATAGATACTAATTGATTTTCGAAGATAAAAGAATATTTAAATATAATTTGTGTATATTAAAATATAAAAAAGACGTAATAATAGATAATGAAATTTCCTATTCCTAGATATATATATCTTTCATATCAATTAAAATTAAGACATATTTTTCTGTATCAATAAAATTTCACGTCAAACCATAAAATTTATAAGAAATAATGAAATATCTAGGGAAAGGGACACCGTAATACTCAATGGATAGTAGAAATCGGAACTGTATATGCATTTCTATTTCTCTTTCAGTCACTCCAGTCTGTCACCACGGTCAGGTAAAGGTGTTCGGTGTGGCACGACAGGAAACCACGAGGATACCGTGCGAGCTGGAGGCAAATCCACCGGAAGTAACGTTTACGTGGAAGTTCAATAACACAATGGAGGCGATCGACATACCACAGGCACACGTCACCAGCGAACGAACACGTTCCACAGCCTCTTACACACCGATGACAGAGTTGGACTATGGTACTTTGCTTTGTTGGGGCACCAACGATCAGGGTACCCAGCTCGAGCCTTGTGTCTACCATATTGTGCCGGCTGGTGAGAGTTCTTCACGTTATAAATAGAGACTAATAGAATATTATCACATTAACAAATATAATTTTATCAGTTCGATATTTTAAATCCATTCCCTTTATACTTTTTCAATTTCATGTTCGGTTATGGAAAACGTTTGCTTTGTATTTTTATTTTCGCTATATTCAATTTCTTCTAAATTTTTTTCTGAGACATTTTAAGATGGGGAAGCAAAATTCTCTTTTCCTAGATTATTTTCATAAGGAGAAGCATTTTTATAAACATACTGATAGTACTACCATACTACTTACTTACATAGCATACTACTTTAAACACTTTGTTGATGCTGTTACTTCATATAAAGAAATAATCCGCATTAAAAGCATTAAAGAATTCCTACAAATTACAGCATCTATATTTTCTGTCACAGAATATTATCAAATACGACAATTAATGAAAACTTCCAAACAGCAAACCATAAATTCCTTAACACTGAAACAAAAAGAACATACTGTTTGTTCGGCCAATCGCAGGGAGACGTAATCGCGAGGAGAGACGTCAACGGGAGTCGTAAATTCCCGTTACGATTATAACAATCGACACCACGAATTGATCGATCCCCTGATTTCCGTTGAGATAATAGGGGTGATTGAGTTTGTATAACACTGTGATTCACAGAATTATAAATTATATATTTCCAACACTTAGATTACACTGATGAGCATAGATAGATAGATAATCACTTATCGCACGAAGATAAGATAGATATATACGTTACAGCAGGGCTCTTATAATTGGAGTTAATGTATTAGTGGACGTAGCACTATAATATATTTAGTAGAGGAGATGAATGCTCGACAATACCGAGAACCGACTCTCGCGTTATGCTTAGACTGCCCCAATAGGCATTAGCGATAGACTTACTAGTTGACTTTTCCAACGATGTAGAAGAAGTGAAGCTGAGTGACGATGCTGTGTCGGAGGAAAGCTAGTGATGGGTGTGTCTAGCGCGCGGGACCATCGGATTTGTTCATGCCATTTTAGGTCAGGAAATGAGGGCAGTATACATTGCCTCGGATTGGACAAACGAAAGTTGGTGGACTAGGAAGGGTCTTAACCGCCCTCGATAGAAAGTTGCTAGTAGGAAGCATCGTACGTGAGAAAAACTAACTTTCCCGTGTCAAGCCGTAGTAAACAATAGTCTTTAGAAACTGATTTAGAAAAAGACATTTGTTGGGTCTGAAGGACCTTAGCAGGCAAGTTACTCGGGTTTATGGCGGGTGCTTAAGGCTATTGAGGGTACGCCTGGGTGTGACCTGGGCCAGGCAGAAAATCGCCCGGCGTAACATATACTTTACGTTCCTTCCTCTGCTCCCTTTCAAAAATGCTTTTACCTAGCTAACAACAAACAAAAGTAAAGAAAGTCAAATTCAAACGTTTGGAAAAATATCCATGTTGTGAAATATCATGCTAAAAATGAACAACACTAAGAACAGCGGACAGCTTTCTTTGAACATTAAAACATTCATTCTTAACAAGCGGCCAGCGTTTCAAATGCGTCGAGATATTCGCGGGTGTCTTCGGATAATCCTTTAATTCAAAAGAGAATTCGCATTACCGTGAGTAGAAAACGCGAGAACGTTAACATAATACGCGTGAAAATTCCATTCGGTTCTTGAAATCACGCAACGTGGCTACGCAACGCAGGAAAGAAGCTTCGCTCTTGATTATGCAACAGTTTGTAGAACGGAAATGAAGATTTTTAGTAAACATAAATGAGGATTTATTGGCCGCGGAGAAGGGAGTGGAAAACTGGCAAGTAAGGTATAGAACTGCAGAGTAATCCTGGGAAATGTGTCTCCCGTGGGATGGTTGATAGACGTAAATTAGATTTAAAAAGTTTCCTCATTATGCAGATTAGAAACAACGACAGCCGACTTCGTAACCGGACATCCGTTTCCTTTCCGGTGTCTCGCTCCTTTTTGCGTTTGACGACCTCTTAACGAAACGTTACGGGAAAGAACGACCACCTTTCGTGTTCGATCGAAGAAGTTGCGAAGTAGAATTTTCTCAATTCATATATTGCCAAGATTGTTACAGAGAAACCGTAGATTACTCTGTGTTCGATCCAAGAAATAAGGAAGTGGAATTTTCTCGATGAAACGCGATGCGTAAGACAAATTAAATTTTGAAGATTCCTACAGAAAAGTCGATCAGTTCAATGCATTTGATCGGAAGAATGACAAAATGAAATTTGCCGAATGGGACATGTTACCTAACATAAATTAAATTGCAAGAATTGTCACGGACATAATTTTGAAGTCTGTTAGTCAGGTGATCAATTCTTTATTATAATGTGACGAAAGTAAATCATCTGTAGGATTTATATGAATTGTTCATATTATTATGAATATTACGTGCTTTCCTTTTTGGCGAACAACGACATTTTTACAATACCTATTCCTAAATATTTTTCCCACTCTTTTTTGCCAGCTCCTTTAAGATTTTGATGTTGTATAGTACTTACAGATTAAATTTCGTTCGTATACATTTTTCGTTCGTATTAGCACTGTAAGTTTGTACATATAACATACAATGGCACATATTTGAATATATTCAATAATATAGAAATTCTTGCTCCTTTTATAATTACTTTCCAAATGTCCGAATATTTTCATCTTCCACTGTAACTGTTTCCAAGAGAATGGATATATCTACTAAAAAATCTACGTATCTATACATCTATTAAAAATCTAAACGTCAGCTTTGCCAAACGTAAACTTTCCGTTTACTTTCCGTAAACAATTCCGTAAACTTTCACGAGTATGATGCCAACAGCGGATCTCTCGAACCACTTTCGCTAAGTCCTATGAAACATGTGAAAACGCGAATGAACTGTACCGTATCGAGGACGTGCGAGGATATGACATCGTAGATGGCCGCGTGACTACGTGGCAAACGCACTTTAGTACCGTAGATGGGGATTAAACCAGTGAAATGACGCAATAAAAAGCGCTATTAAAGAGGACGTTGCATAAAACGTAGTCGTCCAAGAAGAACTCAGCCCCATCTCGAAAGGAAAACCTAACTAAGCTCGTATCTGTTGATTAAAGACGACTGAGAAACGGCGTCGTTTGATAACACCAGTTTCACCGGTTCGTACGTGAACTGGGAGACACTCGAAGACACTCTTGCCTTTCAGTATTCAGTTCTCGTCTAAAGGAGGCAGACATTTGTCGTCGTAGTTTCATCAACTTCGGACCGCTTCATCTCTTGCCTGCTCGACGCAATCACAGGTCAGCTATCCCAGAGAGCTCCCCTGCCAGCATACACCAAACGACGCTACGGCTACGTCGAACAGAGATAGCTTTACTACGTCTTTAACCGACAGAGTTGTTACTTTTTAAACGATCGTTTTTCGCAAGCGAGAAAATGGAAGTTTCCGTAGGAAGGATCAGTAAAAGGAGTGGAAAGTGTGTGTACCAGATAAGACGTGGTATGTTCGGACGTGATTTAAAAGTTCACATTGAATCATACTTGTGGAATGCTACATAGATCGTGTTGAATATTTTAAGGAGAGACATTTTAAGTGGAGTCTTTCTAGAACGCGTAGGATTTTAAAGAAACTTTCAAACATTTTATAAATTTCCAAAAATTTCCATTCATACTCGTAGTACTGTATTAGGATCGGTGGAATTATGCGATACATAAATGTAATATCGTGATATAATGTGTGTGTTTACAAAGGAATGGAAGATAAGAAAAGGCGATTGTTGTTCAACCTGAGCTATTCTCGCCAAACGTACAGAAAGCAGCACAACTAGATGATTAGAATACGACTCGACTCTCCCAAAACGCAATCAACATTCTCTCGGCAACGCCACTCGCAAGCTCTGCTTCTCCGCTCGCACGCTGCTTCTCGACTCGCACGCTGCTTCTCGACTCTCTCTCGCTGCTTCCCGACTCGCACGCTGCTTCTCGACTCTCTCTGGCCGTCGTAGCCTTCCATTGTCTTTTACCAGGCCCACCGCACACGTGTTCTGCAGACGCTCGTGGCCAGGGTCACGTAGGTCTTTTCTACGAACTATGCACTTGAAAG